TTTCCCTTCACAGATGCTGCCAGACCTGCTGAGCTTTTGCAACAATTTTGTTTTTGTTCCATCTGCCACTTCTCGGTCCACTGGCCCATCTGGTCAAGTTATTCCCGTCGCCTCCCTTGTCAGCCTTTGTAAGGACCATTCAAAGTCCACTCCTGCAGTCCCAGCAGCTCCCCATGTGGCACCTTCCCGTGCAATCACAGAAGGTGTAATACCTGTCCATTTACTTGCTCCCTCTGTACTATGCAAGCCCCAGGCATACCGTCCAGGTGAAGCCGTGATTTGCCTGCACTTCACTTAACCTAGCCAGTTGTATTCATTGCTCACAATGTGGTCTGTACATTGGCTGGGCATCTGCTTTGCTGAACACCTGCATTCTGTCTGCAAAAATGACTCAGCTTGTGTTTGCTTGCCATTTCAACGCACCACTGTGTTACCTGGCCAACATCTTTGTCTTGAGCTTGCTCCAGCAAAGTTCAACGCAAGCTGGAAGAACGGCACCTCATTTTCTATTTGGGAACCCCTGCAGCTTTCTGGACTCAATATTGAGATCACCAATTTTAGGTTTTGAACACCCTGTCCCATGTCCTTACCCCATCCCCCACAGAAACCAGGTCTTGTTGTCACCTGGGCTATTACAACAAACAACCCATTGTCAGCCATAATGGTCCCCATTAGCAGCTATTCAATTTCCCAGGCCGACCTTTACCCAATTTCTTTGTATTTTTCTCTTTCTCTTTGGGCTCCATTGCAATCTATCATTTATTCCTTTGCCCATCATTAGCATAAATATTAACCTTTCCCTAGCTGCAATCAATTCTGAAGAAGGGTCACTAGACTCAAAACAGTAACTCTGCTTTCTTTCCACAGATGCTGCCAGACCTGCTGAGTTTATCCAGCAATTTCTGTTTTTATTTCTGATTTCCAGCACTTGAGGTTCTTTGGCTTTTTGTTTGTTTAATGTGCTGAGCCTGAACATTGTAGATCCAAACCCCACTGCTGACTCGTTGATCTAGACTGACAAAGTTTATTTATCCTCATCTGCTCTCTCAAACCTATTCATGGTGTTTGACATTTATGAAATTTACTTTGGAATTTCTGTATTGGAAAGTGAATAACCCCATGTTCTCCAATCTCTCCACTTAACTGAGCTCCTCTAAGCCTTTTTCTGAAATTAAGAAATTTCTGAAGAAGAGTCCCGACCCGAAACGTCAACTTTCCTGCTCTTCTGATGCTGCCTGACCTGCTGTGTCCCTCCGGCTCCACGCTGTGTTATCTCCTTTAAGCCTGGTATCATTTTAGTGAATCTCTTTTGCATCCTCTCCAAGGCTTCAACATCATTCTGGGCTCCATACTTTAACAATGGAATGCAACTCCAGTTGAGGCCGCAACAAGTCTCCGAGGTTTAGGGTAAATTCCTTGCCTTTGAATGCTGTTTCTCTTTGGCTCAGTTGGGAGCACTTTTGTCTTTGAGCCACAATGTTTGAGACTTGATTATAAAAATCCAGCCACCCTCTAGTGTAGAATCAAGGGATTGCTGCACTGTTGGAATTGCTGTTGTTCACAAGAGATGTTAAAATGAAACATTATCTGAGTGGTTGTACACACTCTTATGGCAGTAATTTGAAGAAGAGCAAGAATGTTCTCCCCAGTGTCCTAGTCAATATTTATCCTTCTTTCAACATCAAAAAAATGTTATCTGGTCACTCTCATAGTGCTGTTTGTAAGAGCTTGTTATGTGCAAATTGGCTGTCTTATTTAATATATTCCAACAGTGACTATTCTTCATGAGTGCTTTAACTATAAAGTGCTGTGGAATGTTTTGTAGTTATGAAGAGCACTAGAGAATGGCAAATCTCTTTTTAAACTTGTTATTCACTGTGAGACCTTACTGTTCCTATATCCTGTTTATTATTGTACTATTGAATTCACCTTGCCTCTCCTCATGATTCTCTGCATTGAATGTTTTGCAGTGATCTGTCCTCCCTGAAGGTTATTGCTAACCATCCTGATGTTTAGAATTTTTCTACATATAATAACCCCTGCAAACTTTGAAGTTGTATCTAATATACAACCACATCTATATCATTAATGTACATTAAAAAGAACAGACTAATTAATAATGATCTCACAGAATACCTCTGCATACTTGTTTGGAGTCTGCTTTAAAAAAGAAATTCAGCACTACTCTCCCCTTTCTGTTGTTGGCCAGTTTCGTAACCATGCTGCCAGCTGCCCATTTAATCCCACGGATTTTACTTTTGCTATCAAGTAGATGAATTAAATTGTCTCCTAAGCTGTTCTCACTGCTGGTTATGCTGATTGACCAGTACCCAGAGTCACAGAGTGGAAACAGTCCCTTCTGCCCAAACTGGTCCATGCTGACCATGGTGTTTGCTCAGCTAGTTCCAATTGCCTGCATTTGGTCCATATCCCTCTAAACCCTTCCCATCCATGTACTTATCCAGATATTTTTAAAATGTTGCTATTGTACCTGCCTCAACCCCTTTCTGTGGCAAGCCCATTCCATATATGCACCACTCTCTGCGTGAAGAAGTTGCCCCTCATTATTATTAAATCTAATTAAATAGATTAATAAATGAAGTTCTTATTAAATCTATCCTCTCTCATCTTAAACCTAAGCCCTCCAGTTTTCAATTCCCCATCGCTGGGGAAAAAGACTATATTTATTCATCCTATCTATGCCCCTCATGATTTTATACACTTCAATAAGTCACCCTTCATTCTCCTACATACCTGTGGGTTTAACCTCTCCCCTTTTATAAAGTAGTAACATTTGCAGTTGTTCTGTCCTGTAATGCCAGTCCAGAATCCAAGGAAGATCAGAAGACTATGAACAAGAGTTTTAACAATTTTGAAGTACATCTGTACTTCACTCTGAAGTTCTTATTTGGCTCCAGCCTTCCTCCGACTGCTAAGGAAAGAGGACTTGAAACAGTGTCTTTTACAATGTCAGGGCATCCAAATATTTTTGAATTAAACAAGTAGTCTTTGGAGTGAGGTCCCCAATTACCCTGAGTATAAATATGTCCGAGCAAGCCTGAAATACGTTATAAAGGAGTCTGGTTCAAAATGTGTCATCCTAATCAACTAATTATAGAAATAGAAAAATTATAACACAGAAGGAAACCATTTTGTCTTTTGATCCATGGCAGGAACTATTGTAAATATAGCGTGATTACTGCTTTCAAAAAAATAAATAGATTTGGAATTCAAAAGTTATTGGGAGGTAGACAGGAATGTGAAATTCAAAACCAGCAGATCAGTCACAATCTTATTGAATAGTTGAGCAGGCCTGAGGGACTGAAAGTTCCACTTTTAACTATTTTGAATGTTCATATGAATGAACTTTATGCAATGATTGTCTTGTATAGTAATATTAAATAATATTCAAATTAACATCTGTATTACAGTATTTTTATTTCTCTGCAGCTTATGATCCAAATCTGTTAGAGAAAAAGATCCTGCTTTTGGAGGCTGGAAATAAGAAAGCAGACGGACAGCTGCCAGAATTGTACAGTAACCGAGTGAGCGCACTTACTCCAGGCAGTGCAGCATTCCTAAGCCGTAAGTCTCAGTGGGCCCTTTATACTTTTTATTTCAGTTGGTGTTGTTCTGCAGTTGTTCATTTGTGGAGAAGTAGCATAGCTGTGTTAAAGTTAGTCGGTGCTATTGAGCATTGCAGTTGGCTATTCTCGTGTTACTTGCCTAAGTGGCTGTGGGATGTACTTCAATATTCTCTCTGGACAACCTGCCTCTATGGTAGTGCTTCCTCAACTAATTTCCAAAACCCATTTTAATGTTGAAAATTAATGCTATCGCAGAGGCCAAACAAAACCCAACAGAAATAAAACAGCTCACTTCAGTGTATAATTATTAAAGGTCACGCATTAGAGATCAACGCATAATCATATATGTAAATGAGCTATTCAGTAAAACCTGCTGTGAAAGTCTCAGGCTGTCAGAAGATGGCTGCTCTCAGTCATCACATCCTAATTGTCTGCTTTTACCACTGCCCTAGGAAATCTTTTGTATTTAAATACGTATTTATATGGTTGTGTCACAGCATGCTTGATTAGAGCCACTGCCGCAAATCAACATGTCCAACCTGAGGAGTTTGTCTTGTGATTGGTTAATTCCCACTGATGGGACGATATGAGGTCTGTGATTAATATAATATTTTTAATTCCTAGTGATACAATTTGCTGTTTCTGTCACACCAGTTTAGATTGTGACCCATGGTTTGGGAACCATTCCTCTATACAAAGAGTAAAATGCCAAGCTACTTTTTCAGTTACTATTTTTGATCATTGAGGTAAAGGGACGAAGGTGCTAAATGACCAGTATTGCTTGTGCAATGTATGCATACACAAGAATAAAACACCAAAAAGAGACCTATTTTGTTATTTCAGCTTTATGTTTATATCACTTTCCTCTCTGTAGGTTTGGGAGCTTGGGATCATATATGCAACATGAGGTACAAGCCATTCAAGAGAATGCAGGTAAAGCCCCTTGTTGCTGCAGTGGCATGTTTACCTGATTCATTTTCTCAATTTTTTTGTGTTCCACTAATGACTGAGAATTTGGCCATTGAGGTGCAGGCTTACAAAGGGGATAGGCTCATGGTTCAACCTATGGCCTGTGAGAAGTGTTGGTGAGTTATTGCAGACTAGCTTGTAGATGGCACATACTGCTGCCATGGTGGAACTGCCGGTCAAATGAGTTGATTTGTCCTGGATGGTGTTGTCCTCCTTAAGTGTTTTTGGAGCTGCTCTCATCCAAGCAAATGGAGAGTATTACATCATAATCCTGATGGCATTGTGGCATTCAGGAGGACGGTATCTATTGCCTAATTCTTGTCCTTAAAGCCACATAATGCTGATCATTAGTGTGATGGTGTAGGCAATGGTAGTGCCTGTGAAGAGACAGGGATTCTAGCCTGGCTAATACTGGCAGTACTGCAATTACTCCTATTTCCTCAATATATTTTGATTAGGTATCACTGGTTAAAGAACCATCTGTGGACTTTGTGACAAGAGTCTTGAGGGCAGTGCAATCTTCATTGCTTCATCAATAACCTTCTATCCATAGTCAGGTTTGAAGTGGAGATGGTTGCTAATGATTCTTCTGTACTGTTTACAACCCCTCTGAGACTGAAACTGTTTGTGCTCACACACAGCAAGATTTAGACAAGATTCCGTCTTGGTTGATATGTGCTGGAAATATTCATACCACAGAAGTGCCAGGAAATGACTGTCTCTCCTTGATGTTAAATGATATTACCAGTGCTGAAATCTCACAGGTAACATAAAGGGGGTCACTATCAGCCAGACATTTAACAAGACTGCACACGCGCACACAAATCTGACGGGTGATTGGCCTCCAAACCTCCTAAAGCATGTCTACTGTCTAAAAGACACGAGTCAGGGATGTAAATGAAAATTGTCCACTTTTGTCCACTTGCCTGGATGAGTATAGCACCAACAAGACTCAATAGCTCAACAAATCCAGGGCAAAGCAGCCCATTTGATTGGCAACCTTCAGCATTAACCCCTTCCATCACCAATGCAAACTGGCAGTAGTATTTACATGTTGCACTGCAGCAGCTCACCATGGCTCCTCCTGACAGTACCTTCCAAACTCTTGACCTCTACCATTTAGAAGGTTGAGACAGTAGATACATGGGTATGCCATTCCAAGCAAGTTTTTGCCCCAAATTTAATAACGTTCTGACTTGGAACTACATCACTGTTGCTGGGCCAAAATCCTAGAGCTCCTTTCCTGACAGCTCCATGGATGTACCTGCACTAAATGGACTGTAGCCTTTTAAAAAGGCAGATTGCCAACACCTTAACAAGAATATGGGTGATAAATGCTCCCTTGCTAGCAATATCCATATCCATGAATTCATATAATAAAATATTGGAATTAGGATCAACTTCTGAAGATGAGACTCCTTGATATTCACCGTTAACAATAAACAATGGCCACTTGTGCAAGCAGCGGAGTATAATTTGCACCTATGGAACCTTGCTGTACCAAGGAGTCACTGTTGGAGTGAGGGATGAAGGTATTTGGGTGACTTAATCCTGGTTTGGTGAGTAAATAAGAGAGTTGCTGTTAAGATGTGTATATGAACGATGAGTGACCTGATTTTTGGCTTGGGGAAGAAGTCGCTATTAATTGGCCTGAGCAACCCTGAACTAGAGAAGGGATAAATCAATTGGAATCATCGCTCTGGCACTCTGCACTGAGCTTTGATGATGGACATCCCCAGCTCAGAATGCAGCTCAGTAGTAATCAATACTGTGTTTCCTGCTCCATCCCTAACATCAACCATCTAAGCTAATGTGAAGAATAGACAGTTGGATGAGGGGATGCTGTCTGTAGAACATAGAACAGTACAGCACAGTACAGGCCCTTCAGCCCGCGATGTTATGCTGAACTTTTACCCTAAACCTAAGGTCTATCTAACCTCCACCGCTACCTTATACTATCATTCATATGCCTATCGAATAGCTGCTTAAATGCCCCTAATGAGGCCGACTCCACTACCCTCTCCGGCAATGCATTCCCCGCCCCTACCACTCTCTGAGTAAAGAACCTACCTCTGACGTCTCCCCGATATCTTTAAAACTTGAAAACTATGTCCCCTCATAAAAGCTGCCCCCACCCTAGGAAAAAGTCTCTGGCTGTCTACTCTATCTATACCTCTGATCATTTTGTACACCTCTATCAAGTCACCTCTCATCCTTTGTCGTTCTAAAGAGAAAAGCCCTAGCTCTCTCAACCTTTCCTCATAAGACCTTCTCTCCATTCCAGACAACATCCTGGTAAATCTCCTCTGCACCTTTTCTAACGCTTCCACATCTTTCGTGTAATGAGGTGACCAGAACTGTACACAATACTCCAGATGTGGCCGAACCAGGCTTTTGTATACCTGGAGCATAACTTCACGGCTCTTGAACTCAATCCCTCTATTAATGAAAGCTAACACACCATACACCTTCTTAACAACTCTATCCACGTGGGTGGCAGCTCTCGGGGAACTGTGAACATGAACCCCAAGATCCCTGTGCTCCTCCACACTGCCAAGAATCTTTCCGTTAACCCTGTATTCTGCTTTCAAGTTTGTCCCCCCAAAATGAGTCACTTCACACTTTTCAGGGTTAAACTCCATCTGCCACTTCTCAGCCCAGCTCTGCATTCTATCAATGTCCCTCTGTAACCGAGAACAGCCCTCCGCACTGTCCACAACGTGACCCACCTTCGTATTGTCCGCGAACTTGCTAATCCACCCTTCCACTCCTTCATCCAAATCATTTACAAAAATCACAAATAGAAGAGGACCCAGAACAGATCCTTGCGGTACACCACTCGTAACTGAGCACCATGTTGAATATTTTCTGTCCACTACCACCCTTTGTCTTCTAAGGGTCAGCCAATTCTGAATCCAATCTGCCACATTTCCCCCTATCCCATGCCTCTTTACCTTCTGCATGAGCCTACCATGGGGAACCTTATCAAACGCCTTACTTAAATCCATGTATACCACATCCACTGCTCCACCTTCATCCACGTGTTTGGTCATCTCTTCAAAGAATTCAATAAGGTTTGTGAGGCATGATCTACCCCTCACAAATCCATGCTGACTATCACGACTCAAACTGTGCCTTTCCAAGTGGTCATAAATCCTGTCTCTCAGAGCCCTTTCCAATAATTTGCCCACCATTGATGTAAGACTAACTGGCCTGTAATTTCCGGGGTTATCCCTATTCCCTTTTTTGAACAAGGGAATGACGTTTGCCTCTTTCCAATCTTCCGGCACTATACCTGTGGACGGTGAGGACGAAAAGATCATCGCCAAAGGCCCTGCGATCTCGTCCCTCGCTTCCCATAGAATTCTTGGATAAATCCCATCTGGCCTGGGGGACTTATCTATCTTTAACTTCCTCAAAATTCCTAGCACATCTTCTTTACTAACATCAACCTCCTCTTGCCTACCTGCCTGTTTCACAACATCCTCCACTACAACTAGGTCCTTCTCAGTTGTGAATATTGAAGAAAAGTATTCATTAAGGACTTCTCCTATCTCTTTAGGCTCTGTGCACAAATTCCCTTTATAATCTTTGATCGGCCCTACCTTTTCACTGGTCATTCTCTTGTTCTGCACATATATGTAAAAAGCCTTGGAGTTTTCCTTGATCCTGTCCGCCAAGGTTTTCTCATGCCCCCTTATAGCTCTCCTAAGCCCTTTCTTCAGCTCCTTCCTGGCTAACTTGTATCCCTTTAGAACCTTTTCCGTTCCTCTTTTCCTAAACCTTACATAAGCCTCCTCCTTCCTCTTAACCAGTCATTCGACCTCTCTCGAGAACCATGGCTCCCTCACTTGACTGCATCTTCTCTGCCTGCTAGGGACAAACATATCGAGCTCATGCAGTATGCATTCCTTAAACAATCTCCACATTTCTGTGGTGCTCTTCCTTGACAGCATCTGTTCCCAATTTATGTTACCCAGTTCTTGCCTAACTGAATTGTAATTACCCTTCCCCCCAATTGTAAACTTTACCCTGCCGTATGTACCTATCCTTATCCATGACTATCCTGAAAGAAACAGAGTTATGATCGCTACCGCCAAAATGCTCTCCTACCAAGAGGTCTAACACTTGGCCTGGTTCATTGCCAAGCACCAAATCCAAAGTGGCCTCTCCTCATGTTGGTCTATCTACATACTGTGTCAGGAATCCTTCCTGAACGCACTGGACAAAATCTGCTCCATCTAAACTATTACAACTAAAATGTTTCCAATCAATATTTGGAAAGTTGAAGTCACCCATGACTATAACCCTGTGACTTCTGCATCTTTCCAGTATCTGCCTCCCAATCTGCTCCTCTACTTCTCTGCAACTATTAGGGGGTCTGTAAAAAACCCCCAACAAAGTGACTGCTCCTTTCTTGTTCCTGACCTCAACCCAAACTGACTCTGTAGACATATCATTCTCGAACTGCTGCTATACTTGCCCTGACTAGCAATGCCACTCCCCCACCTCTTTTTCCACCCTCCCTATTTCTTTTAAAGCATCTAAATCCCGGAACTTCCAACAACCATTCCTCTCCAAGTTACCCAAGTTTCTGTAATGGCCACAACATCGTAGTTCCAAGTGCCGACCCATGCTCTAAGTTCATCCGCTTTATTTCTGATACTTCTAGCATTGAAGTATACATACCTCAAACCATCTCGGTGTCCGCAATTACACTCCATCGACCTCATTTCTTTATAAGCCACCTCACTCCCTGTTGTGTCTGTTGGAAGGCCGAATACCTCGTCCTCTGAATTATAAATCCGGTTCCCCACCTCCTGCCAAGCTAGTTTAAACCATCCCGTGTAGCTCGAGCAAACCTCCTTCCCAGGATATTTGTTGCCCTTCCGGTTCAGGTGCAACCCATCCTTACTGTACAGGTCCCACCTTCCCCGGAATGTGCTCCAATTATACACAGAATGGAAGCCGTCCCTCCTACACCAGCCCTGTAGCCATGTGTTTAGCTGCACTCTCTCCCTCTTTCTTACCTCGTTATCACGTGGCACTGGTAGTAATCCAGAGGTAACTGCCCTGTTTGTCCTGGATTTCAGCTTCCAACCTAACTCCCTGTACTTGTTTTTCACATTCTCAGTCCTTTTTCTACCTATGTCATTGGTACCAATGTGTACCATGACTGCTGGTTGCTCACCCTCCCCCTTAAGGATCTTGAAGACACGATCCGTGACATCACAGACCCTGGCCCACAGAGGAAACATACCATCCTTTCATCTCGTTTGCTTCCACAGAACCGCCTGTTTGTGCCTCTTACTATCGAATCCTCCACTACAATTGCTCTCCTATTCTCCCCCCTTCCCTTCTTTGCCACAGGGTCAGGCTCAGTGCCAGAGACCTGTCCGCTATGGCCTTCCCCTGGTAGGTCATCCCCCCAACAGTATCCAAAACGGTATTCTTATTATTGAGGGGAACGGCCACAGGGGATCCCTGCACTGTCTGCCTATTCCCTTTCCCCTTCCTGACAGTCACCCAGCTACCTTTTTCCTGTACCTTGGGTGTGACCACCTCCCTGTAACTCCTCTCCATCACCCCCTCAGCCTCCCGAATGATCCGGAGTTCATCCAGCTCCAGCTCCAATTCCCTAACATGGTTTTTGAGGAGCTGGAGTTGGGTGCACTTCTCGCAGGTGAAGTCAGAGGGGACACCAGCAGTGACCCTTACCTCCCACATCCTGCAAGAGGAGCATGCAGCTGCCCTAGCTTCCATTCCCTCTACTCCAGATTTCCAGAAGAAGAACAAAAAAAAAAGCCTTACCTTACCGAACCTCCACACAGTTTTTTTTGTTTAGAGGAGGAGGACGGGTGGGAGACACTACACGTGTAGTGTTTCGGTTTTAGCCAATGCCCGAATTTATCTGTTTCTTCCTGGCTAGCGTTCCCTCCACACACGCGCCGCTGAAAACAAGAGGGCCGCTTGCTGCAAGAGGTAAGTTTTTTTTTATACAGGGAGAAACAGAAACCACCTTACCTTCCTGTTGGCACTCTGGCTCGCGCTGCTGCCGCTGAAAACAGAAGATGATTATTAATGTGAGCAATGGAAGAAAGGACAGCATAGTTTGCATTTCCAAGTGATTGCACAAATTCTCCTTGTCTAATCTCATCACCTAACTTGATATGCTAGAGGAAGAAAATAGAAAATTGGGAAGACAAAATGGAGTCTTGATCAGGGTTTTATAAGTTCCGTAAGTGATTTGGTGGTAAAGATAGAAATCTTTTCTAGTTGCTTATGAACTGGGAGCAAAATGAAGCAATCTTAAGATGAGTGCAAGCCAACCATAATTTGTACTGTTACGACCTGACGTGAAAGACAAGAAAGGACATGAAAACAGACCTATTGAATGACCCAGCTGATGGACAAAGCTGAACAAACTGGTATTCCTGGATCCGTTGTTGAATGGTTTGCTTATGCCATGTTCTATTAACTAAGCAAGTGACTCCAAATTTCACTTGTTTTCTACTCAGGTTTGGGATGAATGCTCAGATGCAATGATTACTTTTGATAAAGCTAACCTGTTGGAGGACATGGGCTTCATCGTTGAGAATGATGTTTTATTGTCAGCTTTGTCTAAACAACTGACTGCTGCTGGTAGGTGTTGACCTCTCTGAAGGTTTTAAAAACTGGGTGCTGAGGTAATTACAGTGCTGTGAAGAGTAAGCAATGTGTCAAGTGTGTTTTTGTAATTTCACTTCCATTTGGATTTGTTCACTTCTTTTCTAAAGGTACTGACTGATGTGATTCCCTAAGTTTAACCCACCCTTCAGTATCTTGCTTTAGCATCTGTCTTTCGCAGATGATACATTAAACTGAGGTTCCATCTGATCTCGGAGCATAAAAAAAAATCATGGCATTGTTTTGAAGAAAAGGTGGAGTAAGTCCTTCGATATGGCCAAATTTATCCCTTCAACAAAAGTTTTTAAACATTCATTCATGGGATCAGAGTGAGGTCAGCATTTATTACCCATTTTATAATTGTTCTTGAGAAACATAGGAACAAGCATAAGCCATTCGACCCCTTGGACCTGCTCCGCCATTCAATATAAACATAGCTGATCATCATGCTCATACCCTAATCCTGCCCTCCCCCATATCCTTAGATCCCTTTAGCCACAAGAACTATATCTACCTCCTCTTTGAAAACACATAATATTTTGGCCTCAGCTACTTTCTGCGGTAGTGAATTTGAGTCTCACCATTCTCTGGTTTGTCTTATCTCAGTCCTAAAAGGTTTCCCCCTTATCCTTAAATTCTGACTCCTGGTTCTGGAAGGTGATGGTAAGTGCAATCCTGAACTATGGCAATCCAGGTGTTGTAGAGTCACCATGTGCTGTTGGGAAGGCAGTTTAGGATTTTGACCCAACAAAATGAAAAACATGGTCATATTGCCCCAAATCGGGACAGCATGTGCTTGGAGGGAAGCTTGCAGATTGTCGTGCTGCCATGTGTCTGCTTCACTTGTCCTTCTGGGTGGTAGAGATTGCAGATTTGAAAGGTGCTGCCAAAGGAGCATTGGTGGGTTGTTTCCTGTTAATGGTATATACTGCTGCCACTGTGTGTCAGTGCTTGACTAGATGAACTGGTCATAGTCTCATTGCTGTATAAAGATTTGCTGCTGCAGGATGGAGCAGGGAGAAATTTTGCTCTCCTTCAGGAGCAATAACTTGCATTTATACAGTGCCTTTAACACAGTTCAAAAAATCCCAATACACTTCACAAAAAGCTCCCGAGTAAACTTTGACATGGAACCGCAATGCATACAATCAAAATCTTGGTCAAAGAGGTAGCTTTAGAGATGCGAGACATGAGCAGCGAGCTGATGAAAAAGCATGCCATGACTTAGGGTCCAGCCAGTTAAAGTTAGCCAGCAATGGTGATGTTGATAAACATCAGGGATATGCAAGAGGCCGAAATTGGAGGAGCACCAAAATATTGAAGAGCTGTCCAACTTGCCTCTTTAGTTCTCTTCTGAGACAAGAGTTTTTGGGAGGGAATTCCAGAGCTTAGCCAAGGCAGCTGAAGTCATGTTTGCCATTGATGAAGTGATTGATGCACAAGTGACCAGATTTGGAGGAACACGGCTATCATTGGAAGGCTGGAGGATGGTACAGAGGGGTGAGTGAGAGATTTAAAAACAAGAATGAGAATTTGTAAATTTGAAGTGTTTCTTAACCTGAAGCCAGTGTAGGTCAGTGAGCATGGGGGTTGGGAGTGAATGGAAATTGGTGCGATTTAGGAATCCTTCCCACGGGACATGAAGGAACTCTAGGGCAGGTGGTGAAACTGCAGAGAAGCTTGATATAGATTTGTGCTCTTTTTCTCAGACAGGGTGCATGTGTTATACAGAAGCAAAGCGGTGAACTATACCTGGCCAGAACCATGCCTGTCACCTGATATGAATCCATGGGTGCAAATTGAACTGGCTGATGGGAATAAACTTCAGGCATCAGTACTGGTAAGCAATAGTGAAATTAAAACTCTCAGCATGTGGAGAAGATGCGATGTTTTTAATTTTTACACTGTCCTCTTCCTAGCTAGAGGTGTCACTTCATTATGGAGTACACGTCATTGGGCACTATGGTCCTTCTGGTGCCTTTGACTGGTTGTTAAAAAAAAAAATTGACAGACATCCTCAATATTGGGTCAGATATCCCAGCTGATTCTGATCCTACCCTCACCTGGCATCTGCTCATGTTTTTTGAGAGATGAAGCCTGACCAATTGTCTGTGTTTCCTTTGCTTTCTTCTCCCATCCAAGTTTGGAGATATGAATGTCTAATGGAATGTCCCTGGCACTGTCCCAACAGTCCTGCATTTTAATTTTGGGACCTTCTATTGTGTTCCATGCAAGATGGTGCTCTTGCCTCACTGCAAACATTCACCCATTACCTTGCAATTGAAACTTGGGTGTGTCAATATGAAATAAAGCTCAGAAAATGTGCTCAAGGCTCTAGAATCTGTAAAGAGAAACATCATGCTAAGGCTTCAGGTGTAGATCACCTTGAAGGTGCACGGTTTATGACAAATCCCAATGTGTATTTTTATGCTGTTATTTTTTATCGATATTTGGTCAACATTATTATTTCTTATTGATCTGCAGCAGGAAGGTTTGTCCCATGTGCATTCCATACCTTGCACACTGGTTGAGTTGAGGTGTTCAAGGAGTGCAGTGCATGGTGTTATGTCTCTTGGGACAGTGCACTGGAAGTTGAGCCCTGCTATTCCTAGAGTCATCACAAAAGTTAAAGATTTTAAGAAGTACTCTTTCCCAATTTTACCTGTCTTTTAGACCCAGATTGACAGAAAACATGGACTAGGTTTTTGCTCTCAAGAAAAACTACTATTTATTACAAGTAATTAGAGTCTATATACAGGTAAGCAATTATGAACTGTTGGCAAATGGCCCTACTAATTAAAACTAATCCCCTTTTAAACATGCACATGCACACACGCATGAAACCATGTAGCTTTCCCCATTTCCAATATCTTTCCGGCAGGGAGTGTAATATAGGAGTCTAATGATCTGGTCCCGAACAGTGCTTCTCTGGAACTAGTAGCTAGGAAATGAAGGTCTACATGCTTCTCTATATCTGTACGTACTTTATTGTGCACAATGAATGAACTGATTACATTGTCATAATTATCCCCAAATTAAGTTTACCCATGATGTATCAGTAATGTAATGTCAAAAGTCATCTAAAATGTCTGGACTAGAGGATCTGGGTAAAGGGTTGGGTAATGAATCATGTCCATGTTGATGTAATGGCTGTTTTCTGATCAGTTAAATTCGATTACATTACAAGGTAATATCTTTCATCCAAATAGATTGGTGCAGATGGTCCAAACTCAGTGGTACGGCAGTCCGCTGGTATTCAGACTATGCAGTGGAAATATGATCAATCTGCTGTGGTTGCTACTCTTCGCCTTGCTGAAGTAAGTAGATGACTGGGAATGTACTTCAACAGTTGACAGATGTCTTTGCATAGCTATTTAATTTGTGAATGAAGTGTGAGGTTGTCATTGGTTCCAACTAATTTTTCTTCCTTTTAAATCTTTAGCCTACTGACAACAATGTGGCTTGGCAGAGGTTTCTGGTGACCGGGCCGATCGCAATGCTTCCGGTATGCTTCACTCTCAATTTGAATTTACTTTCTGAAGTAAGATGCAGATTCTCTAAAATCATTGCACTAAAAAGTTTGTCATGAAATCAGAGATCTTGATTAAAATGTTCCTGATTGCGCAATCATTTAATTAGTACATCGTGTTGAAAATATAGTATTTACAGCTTAGAAACAGTTCATTACCCAATAAATTATTACTATTATTTGTTTCACATGATCCTCCTTCATCAAACCCCGTCAACCTATCCTTTTAATCTTTTCTCCCTTGTGTGTTGTTTAACTTTCCCTTTCATGCATCCATGCTGTTTGCCTCAACTACATTTTCTGATAGTGTGTTCATCTTTATGAAGTGCTTGAATCAATGCTTTTGGTGCAGGGATTCCTCAACAGTAAAAGGCCAAGGTCTATCTCGTTTACCTTCTACAATTCTACTAATCACATGGTACATGGATAATGTCAGTTGTTGACTCATTGTAGTGACCAACTGGTCCAGACATAAGATGAGGAAACCTCCAATGGTGGAGAACTTTGGGAATGTTTGGACTCAAAGCCACCTGTTCCTTAAAAGCATGCTGCACTTAACCATCTGTCATGTCTCAGATGACTTGACTATTCTGTTTGCACGTGAATAAATCTGTACTGGGTACACAATACACAAAGGAAAAAGAAACTGGGTTAAGGGCGGAGAAAAATTCTGGGAAGGCTGTTCAGTGGTGCAAGGGTACCTCATCATTATTTTGCTGATTAGTATGATGCTTCTCAGTCGTCCTACTCGGATGCTTCACTGATTTGCAAGAGGCACAGGGTAGCTGGTTCACTATAAAAGGTCTCTAACACATCAATTAAAAGTCACGGCTTACAGCAACAGCTGAAGGAAAGACAAAAGTGCTAAGCTCTGGTGATCTGAAGGCTTGTTTACAAGCTGTTCAGCTACATGAGGACCATTCACATAACTGTTGGCAGGCAAGAGATGTTTGTTATCGGTAACTGGTCACTAGTATACAAAGTAATTCGCTACTTGTTGCCAGCCTAAGTTCCATTTGTACACAACCCCTTGGCTCCAGTTTGTCTTCAACCATTGCTATAACTAACCCGCAGCTGTGCAAACAGGGTTCACAATGAGTATTTGCTTTCAAACCAGGCAGAAATCCTTCTATTCCCTGGTTTTAAAACAGTTCTTTCTTCTTTCAGTCCACAATTTAAACAAAAACAAAAATAAAAAGACATGGTCTTTACAATGGACTTTACAAATCAATTGTTTTGGGAGTTGTGACCAGCTGTAACTAACTAATTTTGGCAAAGAGTAGGCTGCATTTTGATATCATTATAGAAGAATGATTACGTCCTATTGATACAATCCTTGAACTGTGTCTCTCTAGCTCTCTGATGATCTCAGTTCCTTGGTGTGGTCAACTTCTCACCAGCATGCATCTGACCTGCTCAGTATGGATGAAGAGACTTTTGTTGATGCTATTAATTCAGCTTTTGTAAGTGGAATGTGAAGATGGGGCTACAGTTGAATTGGGATTTACAGGTTGGATATTAGTCCATGCAGAGTGCACTGAATTTGGTTCAGGTGATGTTCACCCATGTGAGAAAGGAATAAATAAACTAGACTTACTGTTTCTGTTCAGTTGAGCTCTAATGCCTATCTAATTGTCTGTTATTAGCGTTGGTGCATAGGAACGCGGCCTGTCTAACTCCTATTGCCACAGGTTTTGTTCACATCTATATGTCAATTTCTAAATTATCTATGTAAGCACTTAGATTTGAAATCTTGTATGTAAATAGCAGTTTTTGAACAGGTAATTGGAGGTTCTGGTTAATAGGTGACACTATGGAGCAATATCTGAAGTCTTCCTGTTTTGTCGCTGTTTACTTCAGACAATGAAGCAGGGCAAGACGATGAATAATCCATCAGCAATTATTTATATTTATGGCATTCAGAGTAAAAGGATATGGTTGGTAAAAGGCATTGAATTGTTTGATGAGCAGTGACCATATTGAATGGCCGAGCAGACTCAGTAGACTGAAATACCTACTCCTGTTCCTAAGTTCTGATATTTATTATTTAAAAATCAATGTTTACTGTGAAGATTCTGAAATGAAAACCTGAAAGCAAAATTTCTCCTTCAAGAGAGGTTGAAAATTGAGGGGGGAAAGAACTGAAACTTCTGTTGCTGTGAATTTAAAAAAAAATCACCTTCACATGGTCAGATTTTATGTATTAAGTGGACTCATGTAAAGGTACGCTCTGCAAACCCATGCCTTACTATTTCACTGCACAGGTTGTGATTATTTTTTTCTGTATTGCCTTGAATTCTTCCAGATTGTGAATATTCTCCTCCTATGTAGGCAAGCTGAGACTTGATTGAAACAATTAATCTTTTATTTTTGTCTTCTGCACTTACATATTTACTCATGCTGCTGTGTTTCTACAGAACTGGCAGCCCTCCAGCACTTGCCTCTTGATAGTGGAATCCATGTGTGGTGGGCTACTTGTCCGTGGGGCAGATGGTCGACATTTCAGCTAAACTTGATTTGCCTTTTCCAGAACATTCTCATACGTTAGTCATCAATTCCTTGAAGAGAATGCATAGCCTTCATTTGGCTCTGCCTCATCATTGTGGCAAAATCAGCAATTTACTATGCAGAAAACTGTTCAGTTTTGTTGTAGTTCACCAGGTTGGTGCCTCTATACCTGGGTATTGGTTAGCTGAGTTGGCCAGAGAGCTGGTTTGTGATGCAAAGTGTCACCAATAGTGTGGGTTCAATTCCCAAACTGGTTGAGATCACCATGAAGGCCCCACCTTCTTGACCTCTCTCTTGCCTGAGGCATGGTGACCCTCAGGTTAAACTCAGCACTTGTCGTCTCGCTCTAATGAGAGAGCAGTGTTATTGTCCACTGGGACCATGGCGATTTTACCTCAGTTCTTGAGCAAACGTTTAAGATGTACTTTAAATTTGTAACAATTGCATTATGATAACAGTTTGATTTGTGATAAAATGGGGCTAAAGTCCTGACTTATGCAAAAAGAAAAATTTTATCGGTGGATATTTTCTGCTGTTTTTTTGTAGTGGAGCAATGAGAATCACACTGAATTCATTGACACTGCAAGCTCCATATTAAAGACAGCTTTAACGTTTCTGATGCCATCGGGCACATCAGTACGCCAGCTGCCACCAAGCGTGGCTCATATTGACCCAAAAAGCAGGGCTATATTTCCACTTGGACTGGGTCATGCCACGAAGTATGTCGGACCACGTGTTGCTCTCATCGGGTAAGATAATGGAAAATCAATTCCCTCCTCCCATCTCCTTACGTAATAACCGAAAGTCTAGAAAGCCAACCTGTGTGCTGGTATTAACTTTGGGAGGTGACACTTTGAATGTTGCACGCAACTGCTCTGTGGGTCTTTGGACAGGACAGCAAAAACTTGAAGCTGCCCTTTGAAGAATCCTTGTACCTTATCTGTTCATAGCAAGGCAGGTTGAATGCCGCAAATGTCTGCTCCATCCATGATTATGTTCCCACATGACCTTGCATCTACATTTAGCTTCTTTAGGTTTTGGAATTTGCTCCCTCAGCCTCTCTCCTTTTAAAGAGCTCCTTATGAAACCTGCTTATATAACTCAGTTTGTTTGATAATGCTCCTGTCAAGTGCCTTGGAATATCTCACTGTATGAACAGTAGAGTTTAAATATAAAACAAAGAACTGCGGTTACTGGAGATCTGAAGCAAAAGAAACAGATATTGCTGGAGAAAACCAGTGGGTCTGGCAGCATCCGTGGAGGGAAAACAGTCAATGATTGGAATTTAGTGATCCTCCTTCAGAAGTTCTGAGGAATGTTAACTCTAATTTCCCTTCGTAATTTAAATGTAAACTGCTGTTGGGCAATGCAAATTTAAACAAGTGCTATTGTTAGTGGAGCAAATTGATGGGCTGAATAGCTATTTGTTCTCCTACATCTTATCCATCTCAAAATCAAAATTTTTGCAAAATTCGAAGCGAGGATTTTTAAAAAAATTCACTCATAAGATGTGGATGTCACTGGCTGGGCCAGCAATTATTGCCTATCCCTCATTGCCCTTGAGAAAGTGGTGGTGAGTTGCCACCTTAAACTATGTAGTCTACCTGCTATAGGTGGACCCACAATGCCCTTAGGGAGGGAATTCCAAGATTTTGACCCAGCTTCAAGTTTTACTGAGGATCTGAGAAAGACTGATGGAAGCAAATTCAACAGTAACTTTCCACAGGAAATTGATCTCTGTTTAACTTGGGAAGCCATAGGAAAGAGTGGGAGTAATTGGTAGTTTTCGCTGAGCATGGGTGCAATGGACCAAATAGTTGTCTTTGCTGTATTATTCTAAGTTTTATTAAGTAACAAGAACCAAAGTTGTCGTTGGAGAAACTGATTAAATAGTTAATATAATTCTATGATGCAAGGAGCTGTATTAGTACACACAATACTGATAAAATGACTTGATCTTAAATGGGCCTTTGGTTCATATAGCATCCATGGAATTTCTGTCAACACTTACACAAATTAGTTTTTAAACATGAAAACGTACTTGGATTTCAGATCTTGTCATGAACTCAGAGCGTGCCAATGTGCATTGGAATCGGTGAACTTTTTTTTAAACTATGGGCACTACTATCGTATAGGAAACAGGCACCCAATTTGTGCACAGCAAACTTCCACAAACAACAATGTGCTGTGGACAAGAATTTAATGTAATGACATTGTTTGGGATAATAAGTGTCATTGCGTTCACCTGAGTGAAGATGAATATCTATTTCATGTTTCATCAGAAAGGTGTCACTTCCTACAGTGCATCATTCCCTCAGCGTTGTGCTGGAGTGTCAGCTGAGACTTTTATGCTCAAATTTGTGGACTAGGACTTGAACCCACAAGTTTTTCAGGCCAGAGAGATACCAAGTGAGCCATGGTTGACAATTTTGAAGTTAGAAAACACTCCACTTTCTGAAAATAAGGATCAGCATCACCACAAGCCCTATTCAGATGAATAAACAGTTAATCTGTTTTTGCTGTTATAGGTTGAGAAATGTACAAAGAGATATTCTGCTAATGTTAGTTTATCTCCTTTTGTGGGCTTCAATTATTTGATTAGTTAGCTTTGCTTCTATATTATCATTATCTGTTGCAAGAATAAAAGTCCTTTTCAATAAGCCAGGTGAAAAATCCAAAATCATTGTCCTGCTAAATAAATTTCAGACTTCCGAACAATTTGAACAGATAGTGTGCAAAAAGGTCTTGGTGTTATATTTTGATTTTCCTTTCTCGATTAGAAATGACGCAAGTAAAATCTGGTTGTCTTGATATGACTGGGTCCTCCTCCTAGTGACTTGGTAGGAAAAATTGTTTCATTTGCTTAATAAATTATTCTCTTAATTTGTAATTGCTCTACTTCTATAGGGATGCTGCACACAGAGTTCACCCATTAGCAGGGCAGGGAGTCAACCTGGGCTTTGGGGATGTTGCCAGTCTCTCTCAACATCTCAGTGAGGCAGCCTACAATGGCGAAGATTTAGGTAGGAAAACCTTTGTCTCTGGCTAGTTTAACTGTAAATGGGGTCATTTTTGGCAAAGATGGCTGGCTAAAAAACACCAGGCTCTCCTCTTAAGAATTCTCAATTTAATGCTGTCTTTGCAGACTTTACAAGTTTGCACCCTGGATATCCGATTTGGTTGCTAATTCCTATAATTTACATGACTTTTTACTTCCTTCCCTGACCCACTTATCTGCCAAGTGTGGCTGAATGTGAGCAGGTAACTTGCCTGAGGTAGGAGGTTCATGTGTGTGATTAGTATGTCTGCATTTTCCTCCCAAAACCTGGCTGATTAACTAAGCTTCGTCTCACTGAGTCTTCCTCAAGGCAATTATGAGCAAATACAGCATTCTGATGAACCGCTGTTTAAAAACTAGGAATAATTGGACTCGGGTCTGCCAAAATAATACACTGCCAGAGTCAGGATAATCTAGTGCATGATGTTCCTCTCCATTAATACTGCCCAATGCAGGTGGATAGTTGTCAGCAATGCTGACCTTTTCTTTTTAAAACTCGCAGTAGCCAGGGATGCTTTTCATTTTCAGTATTCAAACTGATACCAGCTCAGCACAGATCAAAAATTGAACCTAGCAGCTTTGGGCAACAGCATGAATATTAGTAGCGCTTAAACCTTATAGGCTATCACAGAGTTGGGGTGAGACTTCCAGCAGTTCACAGAATTGTGCAGGAAGGGGACTCCAGTGTGTCTGCTTTATAGTCCTCAGTCTTTTACTTATAATGCTTTATAACTTGTTTATGCAAGTACCATTAACTAGTGGAATTGAGTTGACTGCTCTGTGTTTTAACCACTGCCTTCATCAGCCACTGTCTTCTCTTGTTTATCCAGGATCCACCAACCACCTCAATGCATTTGAAACAGAGCGTCAGAGACATAATCTCCCTGTCATGGCTGCAATAGACCTGTTGAAAAGGTTGTATTCAACCAAAAGTATACCACTGGTCTTGCTGAGGAGTCTTGGTCTGCAGGCGACAAATGCATTTGTACCTATTAAGGTAATCAATTTATTTTTGGCAGCATGAAAGTTATGGAATAAAACACTTTAAGACCCTGATTGAACATTTCCACTGGTCTATTAATTAGTAAGAATTGACACCTAAATTTGGTTTGGTACTAGAAACAAAGGGGAGAATGGGGCATACGTTTTCATGGGGTTATCAGAATGTGAGCTTGCTTGTGGATTTTGTTAATTTAAGTAGTGCTTAGACGACAAATATTAAAAGCTGCAGAAAAAGCCGAGTTGTTTCCGCCAATGTTGCTCTTACACAACCTAGAGGCCATTGTAAAATTACATTGACGGAAGCCTGGGGGTAGGATCGTGTGCTCTCATTTCGAGGATATTTTTTAAACAAAGTATTTGAATAAAACTGGCTTGAGTTATGTTTGACATGTTATTAAAACACCTTTTCTATTATTTTCCAGGAGCAAATCATGGCATTTGCCAGTAGGTGAATTGTATTCTGCATCTACCCTGGATTTCTTCTATCTGTGGAGGATGCTGCAAGTCTGGCTGCTCGGAAATTTTTATTTTGGGTTCCTGCTGTTCACTGTAAAGGACTGATTTGTTATCTTTTCTAATTTATTACATTGGAATTGAATACATAGTACAGTACAAATCAAATATTTACTATCAAAAATTCCTTGGCAGGCTGCGTCTAACATACAGTATGGCACAGAGCTGTGTACAGCATGGGTGATGAATGGTGCAAGAAATCCAGAAACATTTAGAATGACCTTATCACCCAATCATTGATGAAGTTTGTTTGTGATTTGTGACAGTCCAATGCATTGTTACATTGTATAAAGAAAAACACAAATTAATTCAGGCCCGCGAATCTTAACAAGTGGATTAAAAGGAGAGAAGGCTCATAAATCTTAACAAGTGGATTAAAAAGAGAGGTCACTTGAATGCTTACATGTATTGAAGTGTTCTGCTTTAGACTGAAATATACACTGTGATCACTGTCATTTGTTTATGGGAAGGGAGCACAGCAACTTGTTTTGTGTGAACAGTATGCACGAACTTCACATAGTGGTGTATGTTGAACTATTACTGTGTTTCAAGAAATCTGAACCTGTTGTATCTGATGCCGTCTGAGTCAGTGCAGGGTTAAGGTAAAGCGAGAAAGCAAACTGAGACAAACACTAGAAGAGGGCTAATTAACACTTGCAAATGGTACTTTTATAAAATAAGGCCAAAGAGTGAAATTACAGATCAGAGACGAAAGTAACACTCATGTTCTGTTACTAATTTTGATGTACATACATGATAAATTGTGGACTGATATTGCAAGTGGTGTCTTCAGAACTGACAGAACTTCTGAAGTGAATGGTCACAAAATAGCAGGGTTTCTAAAAGTCAAGATTGCAAATTAAGCAGATCTTTCAGATGTTTCCTGGGTAAACTGCAGATACAGATGGTTGTGTGTCACTTGGGCTCAGTCCATCAGTGAACTTGGGTATAGATTGACTTTCCAACTATTTTTACTGGAGCAGGATGCATTTGCTTCCAGAGTTCAACTTCTGACCTTTGAGTGCTGTGGATTTTAAAATCTAGCTTTAATACTTCCACGAATACAGTGAATTGAGATGAAATACAGATGAAAATCTCACTTTGTCTGTTAACTTTTTTTTAGTCAAGTTACCTTGGTATCTGTTAATCTGGACAATGGTTTAATAGGTACTATTTTTGAAAACTTATTGCACTCCAAAAGCATATTCATTGTCCTGTTTTAATATAAATCACTATTATTTTAGTACAGTACCAGTTGGTAATTTAACAGCCTGCTTGCTAATGTTTTATGGGTCTGAAGACATCTCCTTGCCAAATAAGAGATTTGCCCCTGAACCATTTTTTGACTTTGTACCTAGGTACATGTGACAATAATAAATCAAATCAGTGAAAAGTTTTGTACCGACAGATCATACCATACAAAGTACATTACGGTAATAGAACAGAGCAAGGAATACAATGTTACGGCTGCAGAGAAAGGCGCACAAAGAGCAAGATCAGTATTAAATTTAAAATTTGAGGAGTCCATTCGAAAGTCTAATAACAGTGGGGGAAAAAGCTGTTCTTGAATCTGTTGGCAGTGTTTAAGCTTTTGTATCTCGTGCCCGATGGAAGAGTTTTCTAGCCCATTAAATGGTTTTAGAATAGGGAAAAGTGCTAGAATCTATTATAAAGGATGTGATTGTGCTATATATGATCCTGTGCGCTTCAATACGTAATAGTATTCCCTGCTTATAGAGCTGTATTCTGGAAGGATTAAAGATTAATGTTTAGCTTCTTAGCTGCATAGTCTACTGGAAACCATGTTGCACAACAAACAGCCTACCTTAAGCATCCTTACCTGTTTCAAATAAACCCATCCTTCAAATTCAAGAGGAAGGTATTGTCAGTAAAACATGTTCCAGCTTTGTCTTTAGTTTGCATCAGAGATGCGGGAGCTAAGTATATTTTATTAAATATAGATTTATTTCAACTTGAAGTGACCATGTTCAAAGTGGTAAACCAAGTGAATAGCTGTGCAGGAACTTTATTTTAAATTGCCACTGCTGAAGCAGGTGGGACTTCAACCCAGGTTTTCTGACCCAGATGTAGGGACGACAGCATTGCACCACGAGTCCCAACTGGTATAGATAAAATGGAATTGTCTGTCGTTCAGAGATTGTGGAGCTGCTTCCAAATGTGGGTGATGCAGTAGAAAGGAAGGAAAACAGCAAGAAGTACCCTACTTCTCAATAACCATTTTTAATTTTAAAAATCTGTAGGTTTAATTCATGATATGTTTAAACATATTTTAATAAGTTCAATTCACACCATATGATCAGGACATTGAGAATATTACAGTGTGTAGGTGTCCTGAATTGCTCAATGAAATTACTGCAAGTGAACATTTTATATAAAAATCACTTTTTACAGCCATCATGCAGTTAAAATGTCATACAAGTGCAATATACATCATTTTGTACCAGGACACAGAATATAACCACAATAATTTAGCAGTCACGTGAGAATCTCTCTCTCTTTCCCCAACAATACTCTCCTACTTTGAAAGCTTTTGTTGGTTAAAAGCTAGACTCTGAAAATGAAACAACTTTGGTCAGAGATATTTAAATTTCTGAGACAGTGATTGGACAAGAGAATCTGATGAGCCAAACCCAGCAGCCAGCTGTATAGATCAGAAGATCAATAAATAGTGTGAAACATACTCTTGGCACTACATTTACCAAAAATGCCAGTCAAGTTTGGCAACTTTCTGGCACAGTTTGGATTACTGGAAGTAAGCTAGTTGAATTAAATGTTTAAGTTACATAATTTTAATACCTGATCAGACCAATTTTTGTTACAGTTACTTAAAATTGCAGTTCAAAACAGTATGGTAAGCAGAATCCTGAGTGGTCTTATGAACAACATCATACTGCTCCAGGTTTTCATAGAGTTGCAACTTGTAAGGAAATTATGTAACAGATGAAAGTCTGGTTAAGGCAGAGCTTTGGATGTACTAGTGATTTGAACCTTTTGAAATTCAAACTTATCGAAGAGCTAAATTGACTTACAAGGTAACATATCTATTACAGTCATAATTAAAAATCTACATTTAAATACATTTGTGGTTTTCGAGGAACAGTATTTCCCAACAATCTCTTCAGTGCTTAATTGCTTTATATTTATTTCCCACTTCCTACCACCTCCAAACAATTTGATATCAGATAATGGTCTCCTGGCAAAATAGGTCCAAGTTAAAAGTCACTGGGAGGCATTCAATTTTGGTTGAGAATAACAACTTCCCACATTCTTCCGGTTAAAATGCCAATCCCTGGCTTTCCCCCACTACTCTCTCAATTTACTTGTACAACCAACGCTGGTTCTAATAGGAAGGTTTAATGTTGTGCTTCTACCATTGTAAGTGATTTTAAAAAAAAATCCCATCAACTTTGAAATCAAGCTTCTAAGAAAAATCTACATGTAAAATCAAATTTGCTGTAATTTTTAAAAATCTAGGCATGTTTTCACTGAAACTCTAATCTGAACATGTTTAAAAATATCTGCTGTAATTGATGAAGGTTTAGAGCTGATTTACGTCAACATTTTCTTTTGCAGACTTTTGAGTTTTGTTAAGTAGGAGCAAGCACAAACCAACTTAAGTTATTAATTCTGAAAAGGATTAAAGTATATCAAAGTTTCTCTGCAAGTCCAGTAGAAGAGAGCATAGCACAATTACTGCCCATTGACTTTTTGGGATTGAGGTATTGAGGATTTCCACTATCAGATGGCAATGCCATCAAATATATTTTATTTTTCTGCTAATTTTATCCAAGACAAGTCAAAAATGTGGCAATATAGCATAGCCTCCTCCCACCCCACTTCCTCATGAAATAATGAGACACGCAGTAGAAGGGAGCATATCTCCGAGTTGTTTTCAGTGAATGGCGTCCAGTTTGGATGCAGACATAAATCAGTGCTCAGACTTAAAACAGGTAACGATCATGTGGGTCAGTGCCCCCATAAATAAAGTGTCTCATTAGATTTGCTTTACAATTCGTGCAGTGCTCCTCAGTGACTGGATGAGGTGGAATGCTGCTCCTAGTGCCCAGCTAGTTTCAATATTATTTACTTTCTTGGTCAGCTGTGAAAATAATAAATGCAAGAATGATAAATACTACAATACAATAAATGTCAATCTTCAGCAAGCCCAGGAAAGATTGGGGCAGAATTGAGTGGGAAGTCACAACAAACACCATACGATTTTACTTATAGGGCAGAAGTCTTTAGATAGTTGGACTTTCTGCACGACCACAAAGTCAATAGGAACCTTCACATCCCCCTGCCTTAAAAAAAATCCATCATCACCACGCCCCTATCTGTTCCTAATGGATATCTCGCAAACATTTAACATACTTAATCTGGGAAGGAATTCCCGTCTTAGAGATTGGCTGACAGTCACTATTCCCAGCTATACCACTGGCAGCAATGGACACTACTGGAACTACTCCAAGATCCACAGAACAAACTGCCAAGAGCACTTGACACCAATTACAAACAAAAGTTATTTATTTTTTTAGATATAATGCCCAAATGATTTTAAAACTTAAAAGCAGAATTTTATATTCTCCAAATTCTCTGGCAAGTCTTTGGATGGGAACCATAAAATTCTACTTAAGTTCTAAAACCATCTAGACGTTCTGGCCAAGAAAAAAATAAATAGTTCTAGTTTGTAATTGGTCTCAAGTCCCTTATTGTTCTTGATTAGTAAGGATATCAAAGGTCACAGACAGAAGGCAAGAGAATGGGATCGAGAAACATCAGCCATGATCGAATGGCAAGGCAGACTTGATGGGCTGAATGGTCTAGTTCTGGTCCTATACCTTATGGTCTTAAAAAGATTATTACACAGTTAAGTTGTACTGAATTATCAATGACTTGGAATAAACAGAAGACAATTTGATAGAGGGATTCTGTATTAATAGTCTAGACTACCTTTATAAACTTGATAACAAAAGGAACCATTTCTGTAAAACTCAAAATTGAGCCACTAACGACTTTTCTTACAGTCTGTCTATTGTACATCAGAAAGTGAAGTCGAATAGGCAGCACATTTACCTGTAGTTCTGTGTTATCATGGAATCCAAAACCTTCCTTGAGTAAGGCAGTAATGTATGTCAGATCCATGCATAGAAAGGGACTACCTTTGGTTGCTTTACTGAAGTTTTCACACACTGAGGAATTCAAAATTCATAATTAGACAACAGGAAAACAGGAGTGATTTACTTTCACTCTGATCTTTTAGGAGAAATTGTACTGTAAACACATCACAACTAGCCGTTACTTTCCTGTACTTCTTAATATACATTTTTACTCCTTTAAAAAGGGCACTACATTCATAGAAAAGTACATATAGGAGTTACAACACAGAAATAACATTGTATCCAAGAGGTCCATGCTTCACATGAGCTTTCTCACACCGTATTTTATCTAACCCTTCCTCTCTGGTATTCATCTAGCTTTCTCTAAAATACATTAATGCAATTCATCACTAACGATGTGATAAGATGATCAAGAATTTTCTGCTGAATTTGTTAATGTAGATCTTATTTCTGAGTTCTAATGAAGAGTTTCATACTGGACTGGAAACATTGATTATTTCTCTTTCTATATATGCTGCCAGACCTGCTGAGTTTCTCCAGCATTTTTTATTTTTCTTATTTCAGTTTCTCCTGATTCTAGACTCTGTGACAAGTGGAACATCTTTCTAAGTCTACCCTATCAAACCTCACCATAATTTTAAAGATGTCTATTAGTCACCCCTCAGCCCTCTCTTTTCTAGACAAAATTAAACCGTCAGTTCAGTCTTTCCTGACATGTACAACCTCTTAGTTTATCAGTACACCTCCCTTCACCATCTGAAGAAGCAATGCTCTGAAAGCTTGTGATTTTAAATAAATCTGTTGAACTATAATCTGGTGTCGTGCGACTTTTGACTTCATCTGTGTAAATCATCTTTTGTACCTTTCTCCAGGCCTTCCATGCCCTTCTCATAATTATGGACACTAGGACTGTGCTCTATTGCTTTGTCATTGTATAACCATTTGAATAGATTTCGGTTTCGTAACAATACCTAGATAGGTTTCAGTGTTGGAATGTGATTGTTATTGCCAAAGTCGCCAGTTACTAAGCATTACCTAGTTATCCATAAGAAGGAGGTGGTGTATTGTATTCTAGATCTGCAGTGTGTGCAGAGAAGACGTTTCCACAATATTATTAGTTTGTTCACCTTAATACCCTTTGGGGTAGGCGATGGCCTAGTGGTATTATCGCTAGACTATTAATCCAGAAACCCAGCTGATGTTCTGGGGACCCAGGTTCAAATCCCGCTTCGGCAGATAGTGGAATTGGAATTCAAAACATTAAAAAAAGTCTGGAATTAAGAATCTACTGATCACCATGAAATCATTGCCGATTGTTGGAAAAACCCATTTGGTTCACTGATGTCCTTCAGGGGAGGAAATCTGCCACCCTCACCTGGTCTGGCCTATATGTGATTCTAGATCCACAGCAATGTGGTTGACTCTCAATTGCCCTCTGAAATAGCCTAGCAAGCCACTCAGTTGTACCAATCGCGACAGACGCAAAGAAATGAAACTGGACGGATCACCTGGTATCAGCCTAGGCACTGGAAAAGACAACGGCAGAAACAGTCATGTCGACCCTGCAAAGTCCTCCTCACTAACATCTGGGGGTTAGTGCCAAAATTGGGAGAGCTGTCTCACAGACTAGTCAAGCAACAGCCTGACATTGTCTGTAAGGTATGATTCTGAGTATGACTGTCCCTGACACCACCATCATCATCCCTGGATATGTCCTGTCCCACCGGCAGGACAGACCCAGCAGAGGGGGCGGCACAGTGGTATAAAGTCGGGAGGGTGTTGCTCTAGGAGTCCTCAACATTAACTCCAGACCCCATGAAGTCTCATGGCTTCAAGTTAAACATAGGCAAGGAAACCACCTGCTGATTACCACATACCGATCTCCCTCAGCTGATGAATCAGTACTCCTCAATGTTGAACAACATTGTTGTTGGAGGAAGCACTGAGGATGACAAGGACACAAAATGTACTCTGGGTGGGGTATTTCACTGTCCACCATCAAGAGTGGCTTGGCAGCAGTATTACTGATCAAGCTGGTTGGGCCCTAAAGGACATAGCTGCTAGAGTGGGTCTGCGGCAGGTGGTGAGGGAACCAACATGAGGTAAAAACATACTTGACCTCATCCTTACTAATCTGCCAGCTGCAGTTGCATCTGTCCATGACAGTATCGGTAAGAGTGACTGTTGCACAGTCCTTGTGGAGACAAAGTCCTGCCTTCACATTGAGAACAACCTCCATCATGTGTGGCACTATCACCGTGCTAAATGGGGCACAGACTTTGCACAGATCCAGCAACTCCAGACTGGGCATCCACGAGGTGCTATGGGCCATCAACAGCAGCAGAATTGTACTCTAGCAGCACAATCTGTCACCTCCTGGCCCGCATATCCCCCACTCAACTATTACCATCAAGCCAGGGATTAACTCTGGTTCAATGAAGAGTGCAGGAGGGTACCAGGCATAACTGAAAATGAGGTATCAACCTGGTGAAGCCACCAAACAGGACTACTTGCATGCCAAACAGCAAAAGCAGCAAATGATAGACATAGCTAAGTGATCCCACAACCAACGGATTAGATCTAAGCTCTGCAGTCCTGCCACATCCAGTCGTGAATGGTGGTGGACAATTAAACAACTCACTGGAGGAGATGGCTCCACAAATATCCCCATCCTCAATGATAGAAGAGCCCAGCACATCAGTGCAAAGGATAAGGCTGAAACTTTCCAGCAATCTTCAGCCAGAAGTGCCGAGTGGATGATCCATCTCGGCCTCCTCCTGTGGTTCCCCAGCATTACAGATACCAGTCTTTAGCCAATTCGACTCACTCCATGTGATATCAAGAAACGGTTGGAGACACTGGATACTGCAAAGGCTACAGGCCCTGACAACATTCCAGCAATAGTACTGAAGACTTGTGCTCCACAACGTGCTGTAATCCCCTAGCTGAGCTGTTCCAGCACAGTTACATTGGTATCTACCCGACAATGTGGAAAATTGCCCAAGTATGTCCTATACACAAAAAGCAGGACAAATCCAACCGGGCCAATTACCACCTCATCAGTCTACTCTCGACCATCAGTAAAGTGATGGAAGGTGACATCAACAGTGCTATCAAGCAGCACCTGCTTAGTGATGCCCAGTTTGGGTTCCACCAGGGCCACTCGACTCCTGATCTCAGTACATCCTTGGTTCAAACATGGAAAAAAGAGCTGAATTCCAGAGATGAGGTGAGAGTGACAGCCCTTGATATCAAGGCTGCATTCGACCAAGTGTGGCATCAAGAAGCCCTAGCAAAACTGGAATCAATGGGTATCAGGGGGCAAACACTCTAGTGGTTGGAGTCACGCCTGACACATAGGAAGATGGTCGTGGTTTGTGGGAGGTCAATCATCTCAGCTCCAGGACATCTCTGCAGGAGTCCTCAGCCCAGCCATCTTCAGCTGCTTCATCAATGACCTTCCCTCCATCATAAGGTCAGAAGTGGGGATGTTTGCCGATGATTGCACAATGTTCAGGACCATTCATGACTCCTGAGATACTGAGGCAGTCCATGCTGACATGCAACAAGGTCTGGACAATATCCAGGCTTGGGCTGACAAGTGGCAAGTGACATTCGCGCCACATAAAATGCCAGGCTATGACTATCATCAATAACAGACAATATAATCACCATGCCTTGACATTCAATGGTGTTACCATCACTGAATTCCCCACTATCAATATCCTGGGGGTAACTATTGACCAGAAACTCAACTGGGCTCACCACATTAACAGAGTGGCGACAAGAGCAGGCCAGAAGCTAGGAATACTGCGACAAGTAACTCATCTCCTGACTCCTCAAAGCCTGTCCGCCATCTACAAGGCACAAGTCAGGAGTGTGACGGAATACTCCCCACTTGCCTGGATGAGTGCAGCCCCAACAACACTCAAGAAGCTTGACACCATCCAGGACAAAGCAGCCCGCTTGATTGGCACTACATCCACAAGCATTCACTCCCTCCACCACTGATGCTCAGTAGCAGCAGTGTGTACTATCTACAAGGTGCACTGCAGAAATTCACCAAAGATCCTCAGACAGCACCTTCCAAACCCATGACCACTTCCATCTAGAAGGACAAGGGCATCAGATATATGGGAACATCACCAGCTCCAAGTCACTCAGCATCCTGACTTAGAAATATATCACTGTTCCTGCACTGTCGTTGGGTCAAAATCCTGGAATTCTCTCCCTAATAGCATTGTGGGCCAACCCACAGCAGGAGGACTGCAGCAGTTCAAGAAGGCAGCTCACCACTGCCTCCTCAAGGGGAAACTAGGGATGGGCAAGAAATGCTGGCCAACCAGCGATGCCCACATCTCACCAATGAATAGACAAAAAAACCCACTTCCCTTCATTTAGGAAGGTAATAGGCCCTGACAAAAGCAAAGAATTCACCCTGAAAATTACTTCTTTGTACACTCTTTCCTCTCTAGCTCATAAAATCTTGCTTTGGAACTTAGTTTTAGTCAGAGTTGGAATAGAATCATGCCTCTCCACTCAAAAGAGTGTAGAAAATTCTGTTCTTATTTTCTTATTACCAGTTCTATTTAGTTAAGGTTAGGGTACAAGCCTTTGGCAGAATTACTTCCAAGCACAGAATATTCCTATTTAAACAGACCACATTTAAAAAATACCTTCTATTGCCTTCATTTCAAAATCCTTCACACGTATAATGCCACCCTTCTCAACATCTAAAATAAATGAGAAATAAAGCTGTTGAAAACCAGTTTAGAGATGTGTAGAAAAATGAGAACAAAAACATAATTTAGCTGCTCACATACCAATAATACCTGCATCTACAGCTCGATCATAGTAATATGAAAATGCATAGAATGTCCTCCTTTTGATTTCATCTTGCTGATCAAGTTTCTTTTGTATCACCTTCATAATTTCAGTGTAGCAGGATTGGAAGCCAGAAGGAACTGTGATTACAAATAAATAACAAATACTTGCATTTATATAGTGCCAATTTGACTTTCTCATTCACAGATCAGTAGATACACTACCCCCTGCAAGTTACTGTCCAAGCCATTCACCATCCTGACTTGGAAATATATCGCTGTTCCTTCACTGTCACTGGGTCAAAATCCTGGAATTCCCTCCCCAAGGGCATTGTGCATCAATTTACAGCAGCTCAAGAGGACAGCTCAACACCACCTTCTCAAGGGCAACTAGAGATGGGCAATAGATGCTGGCCAGCGAGCAACACTCTCATTCCACAAGTAAAGAAAAAAAACATGAAGATTAAAGTCAATCATGATTAATGAACTGCCCTATGTACATAACTTCATTATCTCCTGATTTATTCTGACCTATTGTAAAACTACTGTCAGGGGGTCTATGGATTACTTCCCCTTGATAAAGTACTACACATTAGACCACTTAAAAATGGAGTGTTAGGGGTGCTATATTACCAGAATACAGGATTGTAGGGAGTCCAGTGGAGGTTCACTTGGCTAGTTCTGGGTATGGAGGGACTGAATTATGAGAAGAGGTTGAATGCTCATTGGAGTGGAATGAGCAAAGAACTTATTGAAACAAAAATGTTTCTTAAAGGGCTTGATAGGAAAGATACAGAGATACAAAGTTTCCCTTTGTAGGAGAGTTTAGAACAAGAGGGCATAATCTCAGAGTAAGGTCATCCAATTGGGCCAGCAATTAGCAGGAATTTCTCTAAGAGGGACATGGATCTGTGGAATTGTTTACTGTAGAGGCTGGATCATCAAGTATATCAAAGGCTGAGAATGACAGATTTTTAACAATGGGGGGAAGAGAGCAGAGCGGAGTTGAGGATTATCAGTTTAGACATGATGTCATTGAATGGGGGAAGCACATTAAGCTCCTATAAACAACAATGTGATAACAATCAGATCATCTGTTTTAGTTATTTTGATTGAAGAATAAAATATTGGCCAAGACATTGGGTTTTCTCCAATGTTACTCTTCGAACATGACATGATTTCTTTCATGGTTACCTGAGAAAGCCAACATATCCTCTGCGTGAAGTCTCATAAAAAAAAGATACTTCTACTCCATTGTACTGCACTACAGTATCAACCTAAACCTTTGTTTTCTGGAGTAGGTCGTGAATCCACAATCTTATATATCAGAGCAAGTGTGCTATCCACTGAACAATTGCTAACACAAGCATCTTTACACAGGTCATTCTATTTAGGCCATTAAGGCCATGTCCATGGGTGACTGCGATATTCTCATTCATTCATGGAGTCATACAGCATGGAATTAGACCCTTCGGTCCAACTAATCCATGCCGACTATAATCCCAAACTAAACTAGTCCCACCTGCCTGCGCTTGGTCCTCCAAACATTTCCCTCCCATATCCATCCAAACATTTCTTATTCATGTGCTTACCTAAATATCTCTTAAATGTTGTAACTGTACCCGCATGGACACACATAAATATAACTATAGGAGCAGGAGTAGGCCATCTGACCCGTTGAGCCTGCTCCACCATTCAATAAGATCACGGTTGATCTTTTCGTGGACTCAGCTCCACTTACCCACCTGCTCACCAAAACCCTTAATTCCTTTACTGTTCAAAAATCTATCTACCTGGATCATGGAGATCCAGTCGATGGGAATACAGCCATATAGTCATACAGCATGGAAACTCGTCCATGATGACCAGGTTTTCTAAACTCAACTTGTCCCATTTGCCTGAATTTGGGTCATATCCCTCTAAACCTTTCCTATCCAAGTACCTGTCCAAATGTCTTTGAAATGTTGTAATTGAACACAGCTTTACCACTTCCTCTGGCAGTTTGTTCCATACATGCGCCATCATCTGTGTGAAAAAGTTGCCCTTTTGGTCCCTTTTAAATCTTTCCCCATCACCTTAAACCTATGTCTTCTAGTTTATTACCCCCTAAACTGGGGAAAAAACCTTGGCTATTCACCTTATCTATGCCCCTCATGATTTTATAAACCTCGAGTAAGGTCACCCCTCAACCTCCTATGCTCCATGGTAAAAAGACCCACCCTATTCAACCTCTCCTTAAAATTCAAATCTTCCAGTCTCAGTAACATCCTTGTAAATCTTTTTTGCAACCTTTCCAGTTTAATAACATCCTTCCTATAAACAGGGTGACCAGAATTGTACATAGTACTTCAAATGTGGCCTTACCAATGTCTTGTACTGCTGTAACATGATGTCTAAACTCCTGTGCTCAATGCTCTGACCAACGAAGGCAAGCATGCCAGATGCCTTCTTCACAACCCTGTCTACCTGCGACATCACTTTCAAGGAACTATGTAGCTGCACCCCTAGGTCTCTGTTCGACAACACTCCTCAGGTTCTACCATTAACTGTGCAAGCTTTGCCCTAGTTTATCTTACCAAAAGTTTTACAATCACATTAAGTTTTGTACAATCACAGTTGCCCAATTGTGGGGCAATGTTATCTTACTTTCTTTCATTCCTCCAAATTTATAGTTAATTCCACCAAATTTCCATTCAGCCTTCAAAGACTGTGGTAAACATGAACTCGTAAATCTTCTGTTGTCAACATCTGAAAGCAAGTACAGACAATGCTTAGAAGGGTACAATTGAAAAAAAATGAAAAATCCACAAGGTTTAAAAAAAAAACAAATGCAAACAGTCCACACTGACATTGAAGCTTTAAAAGTCCTGCCAAAGTAAAATAAAACCTATTTTTGTTTCCAATCACGCTGATACGTAAGTTGGTAATGTTGTAAACAGTGAGGAGGATAGCTGTAAACTGCAGGAGGATATTAACAGACTAGTCAGGTAGACAGTGCAGTAGTAAATAGAATTCAACCTGGAAATAAGTGAGATAATGCACTGGAGAGAGCTAACAAGGCAAAGGATTACTCTACGAATAGTAAACCCCTGGAAAATGTTGAAGGTCAGAGGTGGGCAAATCCACAGGTCTCTGAATATAGCAGGACAGGCTGATAAGGTGATTAAGAAGGATCATGTGATATCTGCCTTTATGAATCAAGGCACAGAATACCACAGCAGGGAGGTAATCTTGGAACTGTATAAAATGCTGGTTAGGCCACAACTTCAACAACTTGTAGTTCTGGTCACAATGTGGGAGGAATGTGATTACACTGGAGAGAATGCAGAGGAGATTTACTAACTTGCTGCCTGGACTGAAGGGTCTGAGCAATGAGAAACGTTTGGACAGGATGGGGTTGTTTTCTTGGAGTAGTGACGGTTGCGAGGGATAGAGGTGCATAAGATTATGAGGGGCATAGATAGAGTGGACGGGAGGCACTTTTTCCATTAGTAAAGGGGTCAATAACCAAGGGCACGGATCTTTATGAATTGGTGTGTACATAATGAGCTGACTGTACTGTAGACTTCTATGAGCCTACGAACAAAGTTAGGGTATTGAAGGTTTATCTCAAAGTCCCTCCTTTGACAATTTCATCATCATCACCCCTACAGCATGGAAACAGGCACTTTGACCCAACAAGTCCACACCGACCCTCAGAGCATCCCACCCAGACCCTTCCCCCTATAACCCACCTAATCTACACCTGTGGGCAATATAACATGGCCAATCCACCTAGCCTGCACATCTTTAGACTGTGGGAGGAAACCGGAGCACCCGGAGGAAACCCATGCAGACACAGGGAGAACATGCAAGCTCCACACAGACAGTACCCCTGAGGCTGGAATCGAACCCGGGTCTCTGGTGCTGTGAGGCAGCACGGCTAACCACTGAGCCACCGTGCCGCCCTGATCATGGATTCTGACCCATTAATTAAATTATATGGGAAGCAACTGGACATTGTACAAACAACTGAGTTCCAATGAGTGCACATCTGCAATAACTTTGATTTCAAGGCAGTTTTACTGCAATGATGCACCAAACAAGTCTGTACCACCAGAAAAAAACCTAGGAAAAGTGTAAGGTAGGAATTCTATTGCAAAATGAATTGAGAAAAATGAAACTTGCGTCATTTTTATGAATTGGAAGTCGGAAACAAACAAGCAACAAAGCCACCCTAACCTCAGAATTACTGAGCATTCCCAATGACTCAGGATGCAGGTGAACCACATGGTTTAGCAGTGGCCCATTGAAACCAGAGGTGTTCAGGATTCATCTTCCAGCCTGTGTGGTCCATCCTAGTCAGGATGACGGTGGGGAATTACACTTTCTTTTACTGCTTCCCATGTATATTGGGGGAGGGGGGGGTGGCCGCTGCGGGGGAACCAGGAGGTGTAAGCAGAGAGAAAATATGCATATTAGAACTTGAACAAAACAAAAACTGGGTTTAGTTTGGATATGGTCATCACGTGACATTTAAAACTGTTCAGTCATTTCTGTATTACTGCCCAAAGCACATACATTTTTTCCAGTGTAAATGGGATAAATTCCAGGGCACCAGGAATCCACACATATACTTACTACAACATGAAGTGAGGTGTACAACATGAATTCACCCCAACTTCCTGCACACCAAACCTTAACTCAAACAAGCTTACCTGGAATTCTAGAATTTGTTAACAATAATAAGGAGGAAGAATTAGATATTTTAGCAGGTATATAAATACACAAATCCCTGTGCCTGATGAGATGTATCCTGCGCTGCTATGGGAGACAAAGAAGGAGATTGCTGGGACCCTGGCAGATATATTTAAAACCTCATCGGCCACAGGTGAAGTGGCAGCTGACTGGAGGATAGTTAATGTGGTTCCTTTGTTCAAGAAGGGCAGCAGGGATAGGCCCGGTAATTAAAGACCAGTTAGTTTGATGTCAGTGGTAGGGAAATTATTGGAAAAAATTCTGAAAGTCAGGATTAATCAATACTTGGAAAGGCAGGGATTGATCAGGGATAGTCAGCACGGATTTGTTAGGGGGAGATCCTGTCTGAGTAACTTAATTGAGTTTTTTGAAAAGGTGACTAAATTTAAATGAGGGTAGTGCAGTTGATGTAGTTTACATGGACTTCAGTAAGGCCTTTGACAAGATCCTACGGGGAAGTCTGGTCCAAAAGGTAACAGTCCATGGGATCCAAGGTAAGTTGACTAACTGGACCTAAAATTAGCTTACAAATAGGAGGAAAAGGGTGACAGTGGATGTTTGGCTTTGTAGTTGAAAGCATGTGACCAGCAATGTACCACAGGGATCAGTGCTGGAACCCCTGCTGTTTGCAATGTACATTAATACTTGGATGTGAATGTAGAAGATTTAATGTTAGAAGATGAGTAACTCTAGTGATGTTGTTAATAGTGAGAAGGATGGTCTCAGGCTAAAGACTGACATTGATAAGCTGCTAAATTGGGCAGAGCAAACAACGGCAGATGGTATTTAATCCGAATAAGTGTGAGGTGATGCATTTTGGGAGGTCTAATAAGGGAAGGATATACAGAATGAATGATAGGTCCCTAGGGAGTACTGAGGAACAAAGGGACCTTTGTGTACAAGTCCATGGTCCCTGAAGGCGTCAGCAGAGATACACAGGGTGGTGAAGAAGACAAAAGGGACGTTTGCCTACATTAGCTGGGACCTAGAATACAGGAGCAAGGAAGTCTTGTTATAACTTTATAAAATATTGAGTAGGCCACAGATGGAATATTGTGTACAGTTCTGGTCGACATACTATTTGAAGGACATGACTTACTGGAGAGGGTGTGGAGGAGATTTACCAGGCTATTGCCTGGGATGAAAAGTCTCAGTTATGAGGTGAGACTGGAAAGGCTGGGTTTGTTTCCTTGGAGCACAGGAGGCTGAAGGGGTGAATCTGATTGAGGTATCTTCCCCATGACAGATGTGTCTAAGAACAGAGGGCATAAGTTTAAGGCAAGGACCAAGTTTAAAGGCGATCTGATAATTTTTTTTCACCTGGAGAGTAGCGGATATATGGAACATGCTGCGCTGGGGTGGGGAGGTGGTGGTGTGATGTGTGTGGATGCCGGTACTCTCGCAGCATTTGAGAAACATCTGGATGAGCACTTAAAATTCCAGGGTATAGTAGGCTATGAACCAAGTATAGGGTAAATGGGATTAGTGTAGTTTGGTGTTTGTTGGTTGGAATAGACTTGGTGAGCTGAAGGGTCTGTTTCTATGCTGTATGACTCTATGGAGTCCTAACACAATGAAGAATCAGGTAAAATCCAGAAACAACTGGAGCAGGGCAAAACTCCAGCACTTTCCATTTTTCCCTGAACTACATAACCAAGAAATACTTAGGGAGTAATTTAAAATGAGATTGCACTTGCCTTTTGCATCCAATGCTCCTAGTACAGCCAATCTTGCTACTTTCAGTCCAAAACCTAAATAACTGACAGTCAAGAATATCAAATACATCAGGACCTTTGGTGAGAATCCTACTAATATTCTAGCAAACATGCAATATCAATTTGTTTCTGCAAATTTACATGAAAATAATTTTTCAATATTGATCACTGTTACTAATCCTTGGGAACCAGAATAAAAGGGATCTAAACTTACATTTGGCGGAAGAGACTGGTTAATTTGGCAGCACATTAACAATGTTATTGTAAATGCACTCAAACTTTCTTCAAAGGGACTTGGCAAGCATATGGACTGCAAGATATGGAATGTGGTTTTGCTGACAAGAAAAGTCGTAAGTTCAATCCATGCTTTGAAATGGTTTAGTTGATCTCACCACACTACAAGTGATCCTGGTGTTCCTGAACTAAATGTCATGGTTGAAAGGATTGGGGGGCATGTGAAGAGTGGTGGATGACAGAGAAGAAAGGAAAAACAGGATAAAAAGGTTCTTTTCCCCAGTCATTGTCAAGTGACCACAGCTAGAGAGTACAAGGGCGTGCTTCGAGACAGGACAGGTCAGGCTGACCTCTGATGTTCTTAATAAATCTACTGTCCAAGTTCACAATGGAAGAGAAAACATTCTTTAGAAACAGAATCGGGGCAGGAGAAAGACTTATAGTCCACTGTGGCCAAGTCATCTCTTAGAAGGAGCATCTCACTTAGTCCCACTTCCCATCACCCTGCAATTTCCTTCTCTTCAGAAAGTTATCTTTTCAAAGCCTCTAGTGAATCTGGCATCATCATACTCTCAGGTAGCCCATTCCAGATCACAGTCATTTTTTGCAAAAACAAAGTATTTCCTCTTGTTGCCATCCTTTTTGTCAATCACTTTAAATTAGTGTAGCCTCGGGTTCGTGACCCTTCTGTCAATGTGAACATTTTCTGCTGATTTACTCAGTCTAAATCCCCTATGATCTTGAACATCTCTTATCAAATCTCTTGATCCTCTCTAAGAAGAGCTGGCCAGCATCTGCAATCCATCTTCGTGGGTGAAGTTCCTCAAAATTTGATAATTCTTTTAAATCCTTTGGCATACTGTCTTAATGCCTTTCCATCCTTTTTAAAATTATGATGCCCAGAATTGGACACAATACTCCAGCTGAGGCGAACTAATGTTTTATACAGATTCACCAAAACTTCCTTTGCTTTTAAACTGCCTGAAAAGTACTTCAAGGGTGAACAAAGGATAATGTTTGCAATTCTCTGGTGCCCTGGCACCACCTCTGTATTCAAGGAAAACTGGAAAATGATGGCCAGTGTCTCTACAATTTCCACCTTTAACTCCCTCAGAATCCTTATGCACATTTGCAGAAGGCTTCAAGCTTCTGTGCAATAATAGTGTAATATGAGTCAGTTAGGTCACCAAGATATAGAAAAGATAGAACAATGATATAGATAAAAATCAGAAAATACAATCACTAACTTCACAAGGCATCCAAATGGAAAAAAATTACACTGTCAATCTTAGGAGAGATACATACAACAGTAAATAGCATTGAAAATCTAAGCTAAATACAGCAATAGCAGGTTAAAGGGGCACTGGCGCAAACTACTAGAGACAGAAATTCACTACTCCAGTTTGAAATGAACAAACCTGGGAAGAGGAGGCCTGGTTCAATGTAGTTAGTGGTCAGATATTGAGACTCACATGAACCTAACAGTTGTATTGTGACTGTCAGGAACTTGAGACATCATCTGACTGAATATTGGATTGGACACAGTTCAGAAGTCTTTGGGACAAGGGATGATAGGCTACAAACTTCACTTTCTGTCCCCAGTTAGAGGGGTGTAACAATCCTGCAAATGTTTCACTGGTGTCAGGAAGTTTGTCACACAGGAAACAGTCAACATATGCAATGGATTTCCAGGAAAGATGAGATAAATACAATGAAATCATTGGAGGATATTGTACAATACCTAATTGATCAAGGACACAATTGATTCAATATGCTAATGCATTTATAGCACAACTTAAATCTTTATTAAAATAGTCAAACTTAAATATTCAATAATGTGTACAACATTTGGGTCTCAGACAATTGACTCAGTAAGCCCTTAACTGGATAACCTGGACAAACAAAGATGGAGAGTTACAATTAGCTAGATATGTTATCAATACTCTACAATAACTATAATGCACTCAACAACATTAGTTATCATGGGTTTTATCTTCAATGCAAAAACTGTTGAAAGTCAGTATTATGTAACATACCTGTGGGTGTACAGTTTGTAGAAACTGTTAAACATTTCAAAGGAACTGATATAATCTTTAGGTGCAGCATCAAGTGTCCTCTGCAAGATTGAAAAAAAATGTCAACTCAACACACAAAGTTAACTACAGATATTCCCCTGTCAATTCCTCTTTGGGGCAATACTTAGTTAACTAAGGTTGAGAAGTTTGGGCAAATATCTGTTGGAACACACATGTGCATGAGTTGGCCCCACGCATACTAGAAATAGACACGACCTGATTAAAAACTAGGCACTGGACTAATACCTACGTTAGGTGTGTACCCTCTGGAGTTTAGAAGTGTCAGAAGTGACTTAAATGAAACATATAAGATCCTGAGGGGACATGACTGGGTGGATGATGAAAGGATGTTTCCTCTTGTGGGAGAACCTATAAATAGAGGTCACAGTTTAAAAATAAGGGGTTGCTCATTTAAGGCAGAGGGTTGAGAGTCTTCAGAATTTCTTTCCTCAAAAGGCAGTGGATGCAGAACCGTTAAATATTTTTATGACAGAGGAAGATAGATTCTTGATTATCAGGGGTGTAAGGGGATAGTATTGAATATGAGTTACCTCCACAACAATTCAGTGAGGGAAGGAATGAATATGATCAATAAAAGTCTTAAGAGGGGTTAAGTGGTTATATTTGAAAGGACTAGTGAAATTAGCTAGTTGAGTAAGAGAAATTCATTGATATAGCTAACTTATTCCCATTTGACTGAATTAAGAAAGGTTTTATAATTATATTGAATCCACAAATAAAATGATGATAAAGCAGAAACAGAGGCCAGGCAGCTAAACTGAAAGTAACTTTTGAGTCCTTATCAGTAGGTTGAATGTCTAGTGACCTTGATACCACCCTGAGCTACTGGGCAATATGATGTTGTCGACAAAGCTAGATTCTCAAGGGTGCAAATTAATAACAAACAGAGACTCCAGAGGATAGATAGGACTGCATCTGAGAGATAAGAGTGGTAGATAAGGGGTATCTGACACCCTGCAGCAAGGTATTTTGATTAACATAAGTCTAAGCAGACCATGCTTGAATTCAAGTAATTTACTGCCTACTGCTTCTCAATGTTTAAATATCTGACCCTGGCTGGGCAGGGTCCTGCTTCAGAATCTTTCTGAGACAGAGCTCTCCTAATGCATTGACAAAATAGACAATTGTAACGTGTACCTGAGATTATTTTGTATAATACTATACCACAACAGAGGACGGTATCCCTTCACCAAGTCACTATTTGCACATGGAAAGTCCTTGACACTGATCCAGCTTCCTCAGAGCCAGCTCTGAGTGAATAGAACCTCAACACTCCTCTTAAGATCTTCCAGCCAGGGCTCCCTGAGTGGACCAGGTTAACAGTCCCAATCAGGGAACGTGTGTCCTATGAAACCCACCTGGCTAACCTCATTATAATCACCACATCCCTCCCCAAAAAAATGTGCACAGTCTTTCTGTTGTCGACGCCTCTTTCACAAATAAACTCTATGCATGTGCAGAGATAGTAGGAACTGCAGATGCTGGAGAATCCGAGACAACAAGGTGCAGGGCTGGATGAACACAGCAGGCCAAGCAGCATCATAGGAGCAGAGACGCTGACGTTTCGGGCCTAGACCCGAAATTTATGTCTGTAAAGGTATTGGTGGAATGTCCAGACTCCAGATACGACTGCCAAACCTTCCTTTTCTATTTGGGCATATTTATACTCTGCATTAACCAAAATCCATGATGCATACCCTATTGTGTGTTCCTGTCCATTGGGCCAAATATGAGCTAATACTACCGCAATGCCATACGGGGAAGCATTGCATGTCAAAACCGGATTTCGCTTGGGATCATAGTGTGCCAACACCTTGGAGGATGATAGTCCGTTCCTTCACTCCTCCAGAAACCCATTCTCACATTTTGGGCAAGCAATGACCGAGTGGTATTATCACTAGACTATTAATTCTGACACTCAGGAAATGATCTGGAGGCCCAGGATCAAATCCTGTCATGACAGATGGTGGAATTTGAATTCAATAAAAAAATCTGGAATTAATGGTGACCATGAATCTTTTGTCAATTGTTAAAAAAAATGAATCTGGTTCACTAATGTCCTTTAGGGAAGGAAATGGCTGTCCTTACCTGGGTCTGGTACCTGTCCTTATCCACATGTGATTCCAGACCCACAGCAATGTTGACTCTTAACTGCCCTCTGGGCAATTAGGGATGGGCAATAAATGTGAGGCAATGAATGAATAAGAAAGTTTTCAGTTATTTTAATCAGCTGTTTGGACAGTATGGCTCAGGATGGGCAGATGACACCTGGACCTGGACCCTCTGGCTCAGAGGTAATGACACTACCACTGCACCAACAAGACCCTTAGATAACAACTTTCATTGTGCATTGTGGTATTGATGCCACCTACACGCAGGTGCATGTGTTAAGACTGAGCATGTGTTTCACATTAGTTACTGGTTTGGAGGTCTGGAGGAAAGGAAGGGAAATTCCTTTCAAGATTTAATGACATTGATTTCCGGTTGAGTCAGGACCTTGCTGTTTCTTCTTACCTCTGCCTGAGGGAGAAAAGTAATCTGAGTGGAAGCACCTCCCAAGTCCAGGATTCCTACAGTGTTTTCACTTGCACCGTACAAGTGGCCTACAAAATATACATTTTTAAAGTCAAATTCTGGTTTTAAAATGATACTATAAATCTTCCTCTCGTAAAAAAAATACAAACTCACTTGTACTACAGTACTACGTGTACTTATTGAAACTACAGGCTCTTCAGCCCAATGAGCCTATCCATTTTTGGCCTGACCTTTAGACAATGGAATAGTCTTGTATACATAGAACATAGAACATTACAGCGCAGTACAGGCCCTTCAGCCCTCGATGTTGCGCCGACCTGTGAAACCAATCTGAAGCCCATCTAACCTAAACTATTCCATTATCATCCATATGTTTATCCAATGACCATTTAAATGCCCTTAAAGTTGGCGAGTCTACTACTTTTGCAGGCAGGGCATTCCACGCCCTTACTACTCTCTGAGTAAAGAACCTACCTCTGACATCTGTCCTATATCTATCACCCCTCAATTTAAAGCTATGTCCCCTCGTGCTAGCCA